AATGCTACTACTGCTTTGCATTTTCACTACGATGAATTTTCTGTTGTTTTCTAAGCTGGCATCAGGACTCTCTCTGCTGTTTGTGCCCTGGGTGCAGATGTGTGACATGTTAGCTGTGAGAGTGGCATGCTGCAGATGGCTGGAAGAAAAAAAATAAAGGTGGAACACAGCGGGCAAAAGAGTAAAAAAAAAAAAAAAAATAATAGAATGATAGTTTATTTGTTGTCCTCTCTCTTTACCTATAGGTGCTTCATCTGTCCCCCTTCATTTCCATCAGCTGTGCATTAAGCATTTCCTGCCCCTGAGCTGTACTTCAGCAGAGATAATGTACAGCGTGGAGAAGGCTCAGAGTAAAATCCAATGGCAGAAATATTTATGTAGGTGTGTTGATTTTAAACACTTCTCTCAGAGACACAGCAATATGTTTTCTACTTCGCAAGAATGCTCTGACTCACCACGAGTGGCGTGAGCTTGTTCTTGCATTTGTTAACTCCTACTTCCTCTTCTGTTTTTATAGCCTTTCAGACCTGTAGGTTTAGTATAATGGTGACCCTAGTCCTGAATTTTATTTTTCCTTGATATTATTTTGATAGGCTTTGATGGATGCTCTTCATGTAAAGTGTTGCTCTTCAGCTGAAAGAATGCAATTTGTGACTGTAACCAGGTGCACTTCGATTTAAAGTGTTTTCATGTTGCACTGAACCCCTTCATATTCACTCTGCTTCTGACTTTGATGCTGTAAAATGTCCCCGAGAACAAAGCTGGAAGAAATTAAAGCTGATTTTGATAAATCCTGAAAATTATATGCAACGGTTTTAATTTCTTAATGTTGAAAAACAATGCAACAAATAATATTAATCACAGACATTTTTCCTTTCTTGGATAATGGTACTTGTTATAAATATCTGGTCTGAGATGAATTGACATTGAAACATAGGAATAATTCAAGTCAAAACATAGAAATACTGCTATCATCTTGTTTCTTGATGAATTTGACTTTGCATTTCTTTCTGATTCATTGCATAGTGTTGCTTCACAAAAAACTTACATACAAATATTACTGATACTGTACCAAAAACTCAGGAAAGTCACCCTACCAGTCACCCTTCTCATCATATACTTGCCATTTCTGGACATAGCAACATGTCAAAATGAATTAAAAACCTGATAACTGCAGTATGAAACTTGCTCTAGATCCATGAGCTGCTGTAGGAGAGGAATACTGGCTGGCTGTGACTGTGAGATAGAATAATCAAGCTACCAAAGACGAACAAATAGCAGTGAGATGAATCATTTACTTTTGTAATTCCTGCAGAAAGCTATAAGCTGAAAACATTACGAGTTTTTCTTTAGTTGAAAAGTTAACAATGTTACTTTGCTTCCTTTATCATCTCAGAAACAGTGATTATAAAGGTAATAGGGACAGAAAATAAGTCTTTTTGCAAAGGAATATTTGAAATAATTGAAGTATTTTGACTGCTGAAGATTCTGTGAAAACAGTGCTTTTGAAAGAAATATTATGGAAAATGTTGGTTTTTTTTTCAATTGTTTTATCAAGACTTAGCATTAAGTGAGGAAGCCAGAGATCTGTTCTTTGCGTGTCTTCAATATTTCTCTTTCAACCTGAGCCTGATTCTCAGAAATGGGACAGCTTTACATTGTGTACAGATTTGCATGCACTGTAACCTTTCCATTGCTCACCTCTGCAGTACTCTTTGCTTCCACAACATGTGTACAGAAGTGAAATCAGGGCTATAGTTTATTATCCGTTTACTTGCCAGATAGGTAAAATGTCCCTTGCCCATTTGGCAGTCACATGACACCTTTAGTTGGTGTCTGAGCTCTGACTTCACATCAGCCCAATTCACCATGCAGGTGCTGTGTTATGTACTTCCTAGCATCCCAAACAAGAGGACTAATTCCCAGGAGAAGCAGCCCCAAGTGCTGACCCACTGAGGCTGCTGTTCTCATGGTCAGTACAGCCCCTTCCTTCCTCCACTGAAAGATTTAAACTCCCAAGGCAATCTCCAAAAGAGGTGTTTCGTGTACAACTGACTTGGTTTTGCTCTTCCAGATAGAAACATGATTTGTCCCTTCATCTATGTGATTCTCCTTGCTCCATAAGTAATCTCATCTTCTCATTTTCCAGATATTAAAGCTGTCCTTTTTCACTTTTCCCCTTCTGTGTCATCCATCCAACCTCATGTGAGGGCCTTTTTTTTTGCTCCTGTACTTCATCCTGACTTTTTCCCACCCTTACCTGAGCTGCTACTTCTGTTTGACACTGCCTCTGAAGATGTACTTCTAAGAGGGTTTTCAGCATTTTCCCCTGTTCCTTTT